GGGAGCAAAACACTTCCGTACACACACCTACTCCTTCTTACCCCTGCTCAAATAATGAGTACTCAGCGCGTATGAGAACTTCTTAAACTCTGTGTATGCCCAGATACTGATCCCAACCCACACCTCCCCAGCCCTCAGGGCAACGCTTTGGGCCAATTACCACCAGTTACAAGTTAGGCTTTATGCCACCCAACCAGCCCCCCAAAAGACGGCAGAATCAATAACTCAGAGGCAGAAATTCCAGAAATGGTTAAGTATAATAGTAGCTCTTCCTTGATATGAAAACTGAATCAAAGCTGTACATAAGCATGGTTATGAATGAATTCATTGTACTATGTTTTAATCATCTAGAATCAAACACCTATGAAGAGAGAATCTGTTCTGGAGGAGGCTAGGGGTGAAGAGGCCATGAAAGGCATTCTCAGGGTTCCCCCAGAGATCTGCCACTGCGTCTCACCTGGTTTTTGTTTGGATTCTCCATGAAGACACACTGCTTCATGATGTAGGAGACAACAGCATTCCCTCCTAGCGCAGCCACGTGCGCCCTCACCATTGCAAACACTTCAGCAATGAAAGCATGGAGAAAACCACTGACGCCTCCTTCCTAAACAACAATGCACAAGAAAACGGGACTGTCTGTTTATGGAGGCAAGGACATATACAAAACGTCAAAGACTACATTATACATTCAAACACCCCAGATTATCTCAACATGACGGTCATAGTTTAAATTTCCTTTATAATGGCGATTTACTGCATGAACAAATGCAACAATCTTTACCGAACATGTCTGGACAGGGATTTACTATACTTTACGGGATGAAACTGGAGCTCCGAGAAATTTTAACTTGCCTGTGACTAGGTATGCTTACACAGCTAGTAAGTAAATGGCAGAGCAAGAATTCAAACTGTACCTCCATTCTCAACATCTCTGTCAGATCGTGCTTGTCGCTGCTACAATAAATTGATGATAAAAGTGAACAAAACTTTCCTGCTATCCACAGCTCTCACTCTGCACCATCCTCATGCTTGCCCTTTTTTTTTTCAGTTTCTCATACATACAAGTGCTTTTCCTGCCTCAGGGTCATTGTACATGTTGTTCTTAAAGACACCTCACCCAATTTTCAAAAAGGACAACTCTTACTAAATCCTGTAGGTCCCGACTTATACAAAACCTCTGTAGAGATACTCTCCCTAACTGTCAAATCTAAATTAGTCCCCCAGTTATATTCTGATGGCTGCTGTCTGGCTTCTTTGTAGTACTTCCTCTCACTAGTACCGTGTTTCCCTGAAAATAAGACCTGCCCCCAAAATAAGCCCTAGCAGGATTTCTATGCGTTTGTTAAATATAAGCCCTATCCCAATAATAAGACCTAGTGATGGGTGTGGCTATGCAGCTATCTGGAGAGCCACGCCATGCATTTCAGCACGGAGAGGAAGACATCCCCATAAAATAAGCCCTAGTGTGTCTTCTTGAGAAAAAATAAAGATAAGACAGTGTCTTATTTTCGGGGAAACACGGTAGTTATCCTGGTAAGTACACACTAATTATGTGATTATTTGTTTAATGTCCACCATGTTCCCATTCCACTAGGCCATAAACTCCATCAGGTCAGGGACTGCATCTGTTTTGCATACAATTATCCATTAACACCTAACAAGAGATGCACATAAATATTCCACACATAATTGTTAGAGAATAAAATCCAGTAGTTCAGAGAATTTTTCCATGTTCAAAGCAAGCAAAACAGAAACCAAAGACTAGTCAATAGCTTAATGTGTTTATGTATACAACCTAAGTTTCTACAAATTCTATTGAAGGTTATTTATAGTCTAGTACAGAGGTTCTCAACCTGTAGGTTGCGACCCTTTGGGAGCTGAATGACACCTTTCACAGGGGTTGCCTAAGACCATCCTGCATATCAGATATTTACATTACGATTCATAACAGTAGCTAAATTACAGTTATGAAGTAGCAACGAAAATAATTTTATGGTTGGGGGCTCACCACAACATGAGGAACTGTATTAAAGGGTCGAGGCATTAGGAAGGTTGAGAACCATTGGTCTAGGAGAAAACGTCCAGGTTTAAACTGTCATTTATAGGGAAACTGAATACAATGTGAAAAAAGCATTTAGATTGCATCTTTCTGAAATGCCAGAGGCTCCTATACATAATCTTATAAAAGTGTCTCTTTTTGTCATCAAAGAACTAAGAGAATTGTTCCGGCCCGCCTGCAACTTTATCACAAATAAGTCCATTTTTCTCTTTTATCAGTTTTTTCTTCCTATTAAATCATAAGCTTCAGTGTGTCACTTTATAAAATATTAAGAGACTGTAAGAAAATCACTCATCAGACAATGAATCCATTTGGAATCTGTGCCATACAGTCAATAGTACAAATCGCTGTTAAAGGGAAATCTACCGTGAAGCAATACTTTGAGGTATAGGAGCTTATGCAGTAGAGAAAACTTAGGAAATAAAATTCAGTGGTTTCAAAAAAGAAGAATAATCATGTGATACCAAGAGAACTATAAAAAGTAATCCCCACCCGAGGCCACCTTCTCCCACTAAGACTTCTTTGTCAAACTTAAATCACCTTAGAAGTTATCTATTTTAATTCTCTATTGAAAGGTTTCAGAATATCTTGACAATTTATTCTCCAGATCAACATAATTAGAGTATGAATTAAAAAACTAATTGGTCTTAAAGGAAACATCGAATTTATTAATCTGTCAGAAGGCATTCATTCACTTATACAAAAATGAACTGTGTTTACTTTGCAGCAGGCAGTATGCCCCGGTGTAGAACAGCTGAGCAGGATATGAAAGACAGTAAGCGGCCTGCAATTTCTAAGAAAGCACAGAAGCACTGCTGGCCACAATGGGGGGAAAGGCACGGTTACTTCATCTTTATAAGGAATATACTTTTAAAAAATATAAACTGCTAAAGCAAAATCTGAAGAGATGATCACATTTCATACCTCAGTAATTTTAAAATTCCCCTATTCACAAGATTAATCTGCACAGCAGCCTTAGTCCCTAAGATACAGTATAAATATTAAATATAATTTTCTTTTTCTTAAGTATAAATTTCCGTGTTACAAAAGAAATAATGGGCTGACTGATTCTGAACTGTAAGCACATCAAGTAAAATATTATAACTTCTGTCATTTAAAAAACAAATTAAAGTTTAATGATGCCCAGTGTGGGGTAAGAGTTTGAAGAAATGGCACTCTCTTATACTGCTGGAGAGAGTGAAAAGTAAGCAGCCTCACTCCTTTTTCAGAAGAACTAAATTATATATGATATTTCCATAGACATATTACTTATACCATAGTTTCCTACTATTTCTAAATGTGACCCCTTAAAACTTGCTATTTAAATACATCTCAGGCAAAATAACCACTAAGAAAAGGAAACTGTTCTTTCAGGATTATTTTAAACCCCTTATCAAACATAAATATTTATTTGTTTTATTTACTCTGCCATGGCGATCTAGGATTTTTCTTTCTTTTTTTTTTGAGACAGTCTTATTTGTCACCCTCGGTAGAGCGCCGTGGTGTCATAGCTCACAAGCAACCTCAAACTCGTGGGTTCAAGTAATTTTCTTGCCTCAGCCTACCAAGTAGCTGAGAGTATAGGCGCCTGCCACAACACCCGGCTATTTTTAGAGATGAGGTCTAGCTCTGGCTCAGGCTGGTCTTGAACCTGTGAGCTCAGCCTCCCAGAGTGCTAGGATTACAGGTGTGAGCCACCACGTCCGGCCTTCTAACCATAGTTTTAAACATAGCACAACTCTTGTGATAATACTAGATATTATATGAAGTAAGTATAACCTAGGATCAATTTTGATTAAAATATCAATAAATGTAATATAAACATAGCGTAGATTAAAGTTATTCTGGCAAAAATATAATTTGAAACTTCTTTGGTTTTGTTACTAAATCTTCGATCAGAGAACATGCAAAAAAGCAATGAAATAATCTCTATAAAATTACCTCACGGAGAGAAGTGGTTTCCCGAATAAAAAACATGTTGATAATCCCAAGATATTTTGTTATTTTTGCTCCAGGAATGAAAGAAAGAGGTGTCATCTTAACAACTCCCACTGTGGCACTGGCACAAGGTGGGGCAGAGCGATTCCGGAAATTGCCTTCACCCATCGGACTTGCTTTTTCAACTGTCACAGCTAAAATTGGAGAGAAAGGAGACAACGTTCAGAGCAGATGCTGGTAACTTGATTATTCCCTAAGGTTTCCAAATAAGTGGTGACAACATTCAGCTGTCTGTGAGGCTAAGCCATGGAATGAGAGAAAAGAAATCATCATGCACTGCATGCAATTACAAAAGGGAGAGAAAGAAAAATACAAGAGGAGGTGCTGGAATGGAATTCGTTTGGGAGAAAATGGCATTCCTGCAAAAGAAAATGTTGATGCGGTACAGCTCCACACACACAATGATTGGTTATAAAGTGGAGGAAAAGAAAAAGCGGCAGAGCATTGAAATTATCTGCTGTAGGAACAAATTATTACAAGGAGAGTGTGAAAGTTGTTGGATTTCCCAGGACAGTGTTCCATCTTATTCAGACAACTTCATCATTGTCAACTTGTAGATAAACCTTATGTTACCTACTTGTGATAGATTTCCTTTCCAAGCATTTTTGATTTAAAAAAAAAAAAACCCTACTTTTAAAAACCTAACAAATGACCTTGGTTATCTAAAAGATGACTGTTCATAAAGTAACAAATAATAGCTACCACTTAATGAATAAGTACCATAAGCCAGACATATATATGTATATATATACTAATACATATTTATACATATTTCTAATCCTTGCAACCAGCAACATAGGTTATTATCATGCCCATTTTGTGCATGAGGAAAATGAGTCTTACAGAGGAGCCCAAGGTCACACAGCTATTAAAATGTCACTTCTAGGATTTAAAACCAGATCCGGCTGGTTCCATATCCCAAGTTCATTCCTCTAAAATTTCCTTTTTAATGTACTAATATACTATAAACTCTTTTATTCAAATATATTTACCTCAAAATCTATCAAAACACATGGGGCATAGATAAAGAACATAAGTACTGATCTGATCCTAGCCGTACAAGTTAACTACGTTCTCCCCAGAAATCCTTTTTTCATTTAGCCCTCTGGATACCACACTGAGCTAAGTGATAGATGCCATACGCTGAGCAGTACCTTGGGTCCTGGAAGAATGTCTCTTCAATAAGAGAGCTGGTGATTTCCTTCCATCTAGAAGGATATAATATCTATTTATATACTTTTACGAATACCTTTACAAAAAGTAAAATTTAAAAAACACAATTCTGTAGTTAAAATTAATTAAAACCCAAAGGCCTTTCAGTAACTTTTCCTAAATGACCATCAGAGTCTGCAGCTTTCACACTCCGACACATGATGGATTGGCAATGTTATTACTGGGTAGTGGGGTCTAGCCTTCACCACTGGGAAGTCAGAGATACGCTTCTCAGATCATCATAATGTGGTAGAAACATCCGCCTACTTGTCTTAATTGATCCGCGCCTTATGGTCTGAGCTTTCAGTTTAATGAGCTCTATCCAGCTGCTGCATCTGTCTGCAAAGGAACTGTAATCAACTGACGTTGCTGAAAACACAGACAGAAAACAAAAGAAAAAACAAGGAAAAAATATGGATGACGTCTCTTACTCGTCTTAACACTCCTTCCGATGATGTAACTTAACTGTAACTTAGAAAAGCATGGTCCTTTTCAAGTCAGATGAGAGACAGTAAAGAGTCAAGCTTTAGAGACACTGATTTGTCCAAAACCAAGTTCTCAGAGAGCTGGCTGAGCGTTTCTGATGATGTCATGTAAGTGGTCTCTTAGGGAGAGCAAAAGTGGGGTCAAATTTAAGTATCAACAAAAGGACCACAAACTGTGCTTTCAATGACTTTATTTCCCATTCCTGTACATCTATAAGATTTCAATTATATCTATTCCCTTCCCTATTTTTATCCTAAAATCAAAAACAAAAATGAGAATCAAATGTTAAAAAATACATGAAAAAAATCACTAATTGACTTATTTGTTATTAAAATATCTTCTTTCTACTATTAGCAACAGGAAAACCAAAGAGTCATTTTTGTTAATATCGTCTTTCCACGTCTGATTTTTTGGCAACAAAGCCTCTGACAATATGAAAGTTGGGGCAAGTGTGGCCTAACAAGTTCCCCTTTTAAGAAGAATAACTTTTACTGCTACTAAGTTAAAGAGAAAATGTTAAAGAGGTAAAATTTTATTTTTAGAAAATGGTAAACTATTAAAATGCTAAAAATACTTAAAATATTAGTTTAATTAATGTTTTTATAAAACAACATATTGTACCTATAATAAAGCCACGTTTTGGTGTCTATTCCACTATCCAGTGCATTTGTTTGCTTTCTGTAATTTTATGCATCATCGAACTAGAATTTCACACCTTTGGTGACTATGTGCTTAATTAGACAAACTCACCTCTCTGTGCAGCTGGTATACCTGAGTTAGAACTTGCACTCTCCAGGTGTTCTAATAAGACAATATGAACAACATTAGCTTGGATGCTGAGTACAAGCCAGCATCTCTTCTTTGTTGGTTGTTAGTGCCTTCTATAAGCCAGAATAGGAGGAACTCTTTATGGCTTCGTTGTCAAAGCAAACCAAACAGAAGTATTTAGCTTTAAAATGCAATTTCCATTGATAGATGAAAACTAGCTGAGTTCATAAATACCATGCCACAGAAGACTATTTGCTTACTGTAACACAAAAAGAGTTTCAGAAACTTTATAGTCACAAGAAAATGAAAACACAGTAACAAATATTAGTAGGATGAAAGCAGGATGTGAGAAGACCAGGCAGAGAAAGAGTCACTGTGTTAGGAAGAATACCTTTAATGCAACATGGAAATGAAATGTTTTGGGACAGGGGCGGTAAAAGCCAGTAAGAATAAAGACATTACAGACAAGGTAATGACTGATGCTTCACAGATCAACACAAGCTGCTTCCTAGTCGTAACCCTCCTGCTCATCACCAAAAAAAAATCTTTGTTCACGGATTCCACTATCAACAGCTCCCTCTAGTGGTACCAAGATTTCACGGAACCAAAAAGTGACTAATCCCCACAGAAAAAACAAAGAATCCCAAACTAAGCTCAATTTCCAATAACCTCATGAGGGCAGCATCCTGAATGTTCTCTAATATTTTATGTTTATTACAGATATTTTAAAAAGGTATTTTACAAATTTAAACAGCACTATAAAAACCTTCATAATCTATTAAATAGTCATGAACATAATAATGTTCAGGTTCTACCCACATTAACATTGTTTGAAATTTTGTTTCAAATAATTTTGTAACTGAAAAAATAGCACTGACAATTTAGAAATAACTCATGGAAAAACACTGAGAATAACTCAGGTCAGTTTAAAAAATTATAAACTAAGTAAACACGAGAGCTGTCTAGAAAATATCCAGCCATATATATGTCACTATTTTTCACATTACATGACTGGATACTTTCTGGACATCCCTCATATATTTACTCTTTATTTGATTGTGTCTCCACTGTGTTGACTGTTTTGGTAAAATTCAGAAATTAATAAAAGTTAAACTTTTCATTATTTGTACATAATGTTTCTGCTTATTGGGGCAATGGAAGCATCTTCCCCCACTCCCTGAGATTTTCCTAAAACAAATGACCACTAGCTAATACTGGGAAGTGGACAATGGCTGACATTCCTGAAAGCTGATAAATAAAAGAGATCACAAGGTGGGGTCCATAAAGTGCCCGTGAAATAGTATGCTATAGGTATGCCCTGACCATTACACCCACAGATTGTAGGTCTAGATAGGAAGAGTTTTCCTGATTCAAGATCTTCAGGGGTTTGGAAGTCCAGGAGATAGACTCTACAGAAAGAAGACCAGAACAAACCTGATATTCTGAGGCTTAAGATTAGGGACAGCTCAGTTGAGCACAGAAACAGACTCAACGCAGAGGGATAGCAGTGGGCCTACCCCAGGCTCTCACGTGTCTTTTGCAATACAGATTTTGTGGGTGTGGAGTTATAGAAAGTATAGTTGGCATTAAGAAGTCTGTGAAATTTTTTTAAATACAGGGAAGGAGGAATAGCTAAAAATTTTCTGAAAATCACTAAAATGATATTCTCTCTTGTACCTTGATATTACCTGGATAATATAGAATTATTACCCTGCTAGCAACTGTATGTGATTTCGACAGCAAATGTAAATAGAAAGAGATTCTGTAAACTTAAGCTATACCAAGTGGGAAAACAAAACAAGGTATACAATGATGTGAAAAATATTTATACTTTTTAAAAAATGATAAGCAGGGTAATTTTTGCAAAGATAATACGCTGTTAAAAGTACCTGCCTCTCTGCACTTGAATTAAAATCTGAAAGTACCAAGTTTTTGGAGATATTCTTCAGGGACAGGTGGAAAGAGAAGATTTTTCATCACACTTAAGAAAAACAGGTTCCTCTTCTAACATACTTGTGTGATCTTACTTTTTCCCTCAGAGAAAAGGCCCAAGAAGTCTAAAAGGTCCTCTAACCCTGGCGACAGAGGAACACACCAGCACCTAAACAGGCTTGAATACCTCGAACGTCTGCTGACCTTAGACCTTCATTCCCTCGGCTTCTCCTGACCATAGTCTGGCTTTCAGGTAACAAATGGGCTTTTCAAAAGAGAAGGCACTACGAAATAAGCAGCCCAGCTCACTGACAAACTGCTAATTCTGGTTGTAAAGAACTAAACATACATACATACATGCAATCTCTAGGCCAGTAGGAAATAAAGGACGACAGATTTCATTATTCAAGGGTAGACATCACATTGAAAGTTTTTCAGGCTTTACTGAGGAATAATGCTCAGCTGTGTGCCATTTGTGTATCTATGTGGAAGGTTTAATACAAACACACAATTGTGAAGTTAAATGCCTAGCTGTGAAGAGAGTCTTGATCAAGCCATGTAGTATATTTCTCTTAAAATTTGCTTCCCCATCTAATGCAAGAAAGAGATTAATTTTTTAATAACCTTGCTACCCCCAAATAAATGATCCTAGAAACTTAGCAAAGCAAATAGGAGGATGGCTTTATTATTCTCTTAGAGCACTCTAGCAGTATTTACCAAGCTTTGTGTCCAGCAATATGGGGAAGGAAAGGGTAACCCAGATTAAAAGCAGCTTAGTGGAAGTAAGTCTACTGGTGACAAAAAGAAGGACTATTTCTCCTTCAACTATACATTCTCCAATTCAGGCGTCCTCAAACTATGGCCCGTGGGCCACATGTGGCCCACCTAGGACATTTATCTGGCCCACCTGGTGTTTTTGCTGCCACTGCCTATCCTGCTTAGCAGCTGACTTGTCCCAGGGCCCGTAGTCCAGCCCTCCAACAGTCTGAGGGACAGTGAACTGGCCTCCTGTTTAAAAAGTTTGAGGACCCCTGCTCCAATGCTTCTAAAGTTTGAGAGTTTTCCATTCTCCTAAATAATACAAAAGTATTGGTTAACTGTTCTTGTATCATGATGTATGTCCCTCCACAACTCATGCTGAAATTTAACTGCCATTGTAACAGTACTTGAAAAGGTGATTAAGATAAAGGGCTCCATCCTCACAAGTGGGATTGGTGTTATTATAAAAGGATAAGTTCAACCCCCCTTGCTCTCTTTTTGGCCTTCTGTCACGTGATGACACAGCAGGAATGCCCTCATCAAATGCCAGTGCCTTGACACTGGACTTCCCAGCCTACACAACTATGAGACAGTGCATTTCTGGTCTCACGTATTCTATCATGGCAGCATGAAACAGACTAAAACAGCTATACTGATCACTACCTCTCCTAGCTATTCACTCTGTATCATTAGAATTTATAGACTGTCTTCGATCTGGATAATAAAAAAAATATTTGAGACAATCTTCTTTGACATCATGAAAAAATTATTAAAACTGAAAAAATTCCTAAGAATTTGGAGAAGGTCCTTTGGCAGATTAAAACATACGCAATCTGGAGTCCTTTTAAAATTTATGTTTTATCCCCCTATTTAAACATTCCCAGTTTTAAGTTATTATGGTCAAAACTGGATTTTATGTTCCTTTAGGAATTTCCATCAATCAGTAATGCATTGGATGGTTATGCCACATAAGTTTGAAATCTCCCTTAATGATGAGTCAGACGAATGTATCTAAACATTCAGTATAAATCTTATCCATAATGGTATTCAAACATTTATAGACAGACAGTGAAACTGCCATAGTATAGTTATAAATTATTAAGGCAGAGAGAAAGACAGAAATAGCTTCAATTTAGAGAGTTCTCAAGGAAAAAGACTGAGCTGCAACATACAAGTAATACATATTCTAAAGGATATAGACAATTAATGTCAATATTTGGTTCATTTAAGTTTCCACCTGTAGGTGTACAAAACACCAGGGTACAACAGGCGTCTTTCTTCTTCAATCTCCTTGCGTTTTCTGCTCCCATTTCAAGGCATCCACTCCACTGACTCCTGGCCTTTACAGCTTCTCTTCCACATAATCCCTCTTTTCTATCACTAACCCAATTCAATTTTTCTCTGCTTTTTATTCCTGCTTTCTCCGACTCTGAATTTCACTGTCCTTCGCTGCCTTAAAGAAGCCACAGAAAAAGATTATCCTTATTTCTCCAGCAATCCTCTTTCTTTCATTCCTTCTCATTTCTGGATGAGGAACTTTTTCACACGTTTTCCCCTAGTTTCCATTTTCCTCACTCTTTCCCCCTCGGCGTCCTTCTCCTTTCAGGACATGCCATTAATTGTTTGGCTGTCCAATAACACGGAGAACTTTTGACTGTTTTTAATTATTGCTACCATTTGGTCATAGTGACAAAATACGCTAAAAAAAAAAAAAATCCATGCAATAGATTGTTAATGTGTAAACACTCTTTCAGTTAGTATAAAGAATTACAAATTGTAAGATTTTAAACCATTAGTTAGCAGGAAAATAAAAAGCTAACTTTCTACAAATTTCTAATTGTTAGTTTAAAATGATGTTAGGTAAGTCATTTAATTGAAACAGTTAAACTACTTTTTAAAGTCACAGCTGGTTTAACAACAACAACAACAAAAGTAATTCTTAAAATAAAGATAAAAACACCTCAGGGTGTGAGGCCAAGGCAGAAGATTACTTGAGATCAGGGGTTCCAGACCAGCCTGAACGAGCGTAAGACTTTGTCTCTATAAAAAAAAATAGAGAAATTGGCTGGGCATAGTGATGCACACCTGTAGTTCCAGCTATCCGGGAGGCTGCAGCGGGAAGCTCTCTCAAGTCTAGGAGTTTGAGGTTGTAGTGAGCTATGAAGGCACTGCACTCTAGGTAGGGAAACAGAGTAAGACCCTGTCTTAAAAAACAAAACAAAACAAAAAAACCCTTCTGATGTGGACATCTAATTTTGGCATACAATATATTGGTGGGTATAAGTCATTTATATTCTTTTATATTGAAATCCAGATTTTAACCAATCTCGCCACATTAGTCAGTAGCAAATGTGACAAAAAGTAAAGTGTCATCCTGCCAGCCTATAGCTTATGTTATTAATCATAAGGAAATCACCCCAGTATACAGTGAAATGAAAGCAGAAAACAAGATGGAGAGGGAATGGGAAGGGAGGGGAAGGGAAGGAAGGGGAGGGGAAGGGAGGGAAGGAAGAAGAAAAAAAAGAAAGTTCTAGAAAGAATTTCATTCAATAGTATATAAAAACTAAAATTAACCTGATCAAACCTTTCTAAAGCTTTAAACTATCAGTATTTTAATAAAAACTATTATTCTATTTTAAGGTATTTGAAATATATTTAAAGTGGTATATGATTCACACACATTTTTCTAATCTAATTTCTTAAGCCCTACAAGATGGTAACTAATATCTATGGATTTAGGCCTTTACACAGGCCTTTAGACATTGACCTAAAGTAATGTTAATCTTTTCCAAAAATTACATCAACTACAGTTTATGAGAAAACTCTTACTGATTTGTTTTTAACTTTTCACCCAAGCTTCCCATTTTTGGTACATTTTCTCACTCTCTTTTTTTTTTTTTTGGCTGGGGCTGGGTTTGAATCTGCCACCTCTGGCAAATGGGGCCAGCGCCCTACTCCTTTGACCCACAGGACTCATTCTTTTTTTAATGCAATCACTTTTAAAGTCTCTTGAAAACCATTTCAGAAAAAAATGAGGTGCAGATATTAATGATGAAGAAAAAAAGTTTATGAGGTTATGGTATAAAAAGTTTGCTATTTTTTCCCTCCTAACCCAGCCTCATGGGCACATGTATAATTTATGTTTATGCCACATCATCCCTGTTCCTCTATTCATTGAAGAGTTTTGATGGCCTCCCATGCTAGTTATCCTTTTTAGAAATTATTTAAGCTCAGCAACTTTTAATATTTCAAAATCAGAAAAATCAAGACAACTGGCAAGGTAACACCAAATCAACCCTAAATTTCAGAAATACATCCAACAATTTTGTTACCTTGAAAAACAAATATAATAAAGAAAGAAAGGAAAAAACTGAACATGGATGGACAATTCAGGCCCAGGCTTACTCTGCACAGCGCATTAGGATACATGGGATTGCAGCATTTCTTCACAAGACATTCACCCATTTCAATGACACTGTATGCACAGAAAGATACTGAAAGGTTTATCTACAAGTGAAAAGATGGAAGTATCAATCAACATACTACTCTCGAAACTATTCTCCCTGTCAACAGAAAAGTAAAATAAACATTTTAACATATCATCCTATTTGTGGTGAGCACGTGAAATATAAACTAGAATTCCAAGTTATTAAAATTAAAGAAAAAACTACCAGCTTAGCTAACCACATAACCAACCTATAAAAACCAAACATTTATTATTTATCAATATTAGTAGCTGACTTTTAAGCCTCTTGTGGTTGTGTAAGAAAGCAGACAAGTCTTCTGAACATTTCATCCTGACACTCTTACCTTTCTTTCTTTCGCCTATTTCCTCTAATACACTATCCCTAAATCTTCCAGATATTTCTCTCCTCTATTCCAAGCCATCTATCATGTTAGAACACTCATTTATCCGTTCATATTATAAAACTCTATTACTATGACATATTCTTTAGGCCTTTTCAAAATCCATCTTATCCTCAAATTTTTCCAAACTATTTTGAGATAACTTTTAAAAATGCATTTAACTCATGTCCTCCTGAAAAGCCTTGTGGAAGCCACGACAATCAATAAGCATGCAACATAAACCACAATATACAAATCACAGAACTATTTACAAAAAGGTACATATGTACTTTGAAGTGCTGACTGATGATTAAAAATGTAATATTCAAGAGAAAGCACATAGTTTTTTCAGTTAAGCATTCAGTGTAAAATGTTTTACGTATATTAGTATTAGACGCGATGATACTGATGATGATGATGATGACGATGATTAAGGCGGCATGATCTGATTCAGTGGTTTTCAAAACTTGGGAAACCCTTTCTTTAAGTAAAACCACATACAAAAGATCAACAGGTAAAAAGTGCGCTGAACTGAAGCTGATCTGGTTCAGAGGTGGGGATGCAGAGACCGACCCTCTCACCCCCACCCACCTCTGCTCCTGCTCACCCAGTCTCCCAGCAGGCCCTGAGGCACTTCTAACAAACCCCTATAGTTTGGAGGAGAAGAATTTGAAAATTATCGGTTTAACTGATTCCAAGTTTCTGGGAAACATTTAACTTAATTACAAAAGTTCTGTGTGACCTCAGTACTAATTTAGCTTCTGATTTACTTTTCTAATAGTATGAGTATGTTAATAATTGAAGATCCATAAACTTCAGACCCAAAGAATCACAGAATTTTAAGGCTATTGGGAATGTTAACCCTTTCATAACTTATGTGTGAGGAACTGAGGCTTAAAAAACTTAAGAATTTGGCCCAAATTCTCACACCTCATCAGTGGCACAAATGAAGGAAGAACCCAAGTCTGTCGCATTTTTATCGCATTTCTTGGCCCCTTCTCCATTCTTTCTAAAATGAGCTGCAAATATTTTTAAGAACTATTCAAATATGACTTGTTCTACTCAAATTCTTCTTTTCATGCTCTTTAGTTCACAAAGTATCACTTTACACAAAATATATGAATGACCACATAAACACTAGTTATAATTAATCACCTTTGAAAACATATTGAATGCTATTGTAGACATGTTTAGTTATCTACGTAGTCTGTGCAAACTGACAGAGTTTAAATCCAATCTGGAGAATTCAGTATTAATAACATGGCAAAACTGAACTATTTATTAGGGACCCCAAGTCCACAAATATCTATTCCTACACATTAGTAACTGGCCAAATCTTCTGTTGTCGATTAGGTTTCAGGGCATTTTGTTGTCGCTGTTTTTGTTCCTATTGCAGGATAAGGACAACAAAATGATACTTGCAAGTGACTTGGAACTAACTGTGCATAAACACAAGTTTCTGTATAAAGCAGGTGTTTAAAAAAAAACACTTCTGTCTAGTAAGTTCAAGGAAGACTCCTTACACTTCTGCTTCCTTTTCTCTAGAAGATATATTTAATTCATAAAATCTGAACTCAGATTATCTTTGGATTTGTCTATTCTTTCAAGGACATTGAAATGTGCTACATCTCTCTCGATGGAGGTCTAAATTAGAATTTTAGGCGATGACAAAAAGGAAAAAGAACCATAATTACTATGTTAGAAAGTTCAGAATCTGGAAGCAACTTACTTTTTATCCTCAGAATATGAGACATTATCTGTTTATCTACATAGATAGGCCTCACATTGATTTAGTAAAGATTCTACTGACATATACACAGAGTAAATATTAAATATAAAACTATGCTTTATTATACACAATTTGGTATCAGATAAAATAATTAACAAGTAGGAATCATAAAATAATTTCACTTGTGTATAAACTGGAAAAATTAGAATAGCTGATTTGATTTTAAGTAACATATGTGTCATTTCTCAAAATAAAAAAAAAAAATTAGGAAAAAACACATACATCCAATATATAATGCTACAAAATAAAGTACTGTAATTCTGAAAACTTACATAGTAAAACTTATACCGAAATCAGATGATAAATGAAAAATACCTCCTACCTACTTTTCACCAAAGATTATACAGATCAAACTAAATGTACGGCTATTAAATTAATGGGCAATCATTCTGCATTTGAAAAAAGAATGGTCTTCTAAGTATGTAGCAATGTGCTGTAATACAGCCTAGGCACACAGAAGATAGGAAGCTCAGCCTTGACTTGTACTGCCCACAATGAAAACCTCTCCATACATCCTCGGGTGTAGCACAAGCATTCTGTTGTCTTCTAAAAATTTTTGTGAAGGTTTGATTGTTGCTAGAAAAACATTTACCAGATATAATACAAAACCCAAATATACTATGTGTGAATAGTTACATTGTGAAATCTAAATCCTTGAAAATAAAACTTTAATACATTTGCAATATGAGAATGGACTGCCATAGAAAAAAATTACCTGGATAATTTATGATGAAACTACTTGAAAAATTAAAATAAGCACCAGATTGCTTTCTCCCCTTTATGAACATGAAGAAACACACAATGAGGGAATGAAGGATAAATCTTTGCCTCAAGGTTAAGATCGCCTACAATGAAGACGTGAAAGGAACTGGGAACTAGAAGTTGTGCCTGCTTTTGCCCTTACTTAACCAACCTTTAGCTGGTGGAAAAGGGTGAGAAGGAAGTGAATCTGAACAGAGTTCCAGCGGAAACTGCAGAAGTTCTTCATTATCTGTAGAGGCTAGAAAGGCAAGAAAAACACAAGTTTTAGGTTTTTTTTTTGGCCAGGGCTGGGTTCGAACCCACTACCTCCAGTATATGGGGTCAGCGCCCTACTCCTTTGAGCCACAGGCGCTGCCCACAAGTTTTAGTTTTTAATTAAGAATCTGTGATAACATGTATATAATATAAAATACATTAAAATATATAAAAATGTATATATATATACGTGCGCGTGCACACACACACATATATATATTCATATTCTCAGTTCCACCTCCCCACCTCAATTTATTCTGGTGATTTTCTCCTTGTTTCTCCCATGAGGGCCCTTCACTACCTAATAGTGAGAGGGGTGCTACGCCCCCTGACAGGACTACTGTGAGGTTTTAAAAGATTAATACCTATAAATCACTTAGCATAGTGCCTTAGAAACAGCAAGTGCTCAATAACAATTAATATCCAACATTCTGTACCTTACTATTAATAGTTTCTATGATACTTAAACAAGTTATCTATCTTCTCTGATAAATACCTGAACAGAATCATTTAATGCACCTATCGACATTATTTTAATGCTTAACTGTTATGAATATCATGTGTGGAATGTAATCAACTTTTAAAAGTTTAGACTAATCATGGATATTTTATTTAGCTAGAAAGTCAACTTTAGAAAGTTGACTATTCCTCCTTTTTCTTCAGAACACATAATTTCCAATAGTTTGAGTTTATCTGGAATTAAATATTAGTAATATGAGTTTATTTAGTATTAAAAATAGTACTCCCTAAATTTTATTAGATTAAGGACACCACTGAAAATTTGTTGAATACAGGGGTGTCAAAAAAATGTATGCACATTTTAAGAAAGGAAAAAACTATATTAAAATTGTAATATTCAATATGTACTGATAATGTTTGTTATCTTTTTTTTTTTTTTTTTGAGACAGAG